GGAAAATCCTTTAGTTTTTTTTTTTAACTCTTCCCGTCGTGTTTCGGCTTCTGTTCTCTTTTGTTCTTTCTTTTCCAAGCACTTATCGGCTTCCGCCCCTCACTAGCTTTCCCTTTCTCTCTATATTCCCATTTATTTTGCTTCATTTTCATTCATTGCTATTTTTTTTCCCTCTGTTTGGCTACCATGTTGCATAATGAATGCTGATTGTTTCCCTATAAATGTGCATAAACATCGGTCACTACTTAATTATGTCACAAACCAAAAGCTTGACTAACACGCGTTTTGCAATTGCTTAATAAATCATGAACGAATGATATGCTTTTTATTAGAGTTGCACATTCTTCTAAAAATGTTTTCACCTTGTCCAGATTTTATTTTGAATTATACTTGATCAAGGTTGTTGTTTCCAAACTTTTAGTTAGCAAGTGTTACACTCCGCCTAAAAGAGGGATTTTTCTAGAGATTCTAGAGAACTCTAGATAAGTCCGGAAACTTCTAGAAGAGTATGGAACAATGGAGAAGCCTCTAGATAAGTCCGGAAGCTTCTAGAAGAGTATGGAGCAAAGGAGAAGCCTCTAGATAAGGTCGGGAGCTTCTAGAAGAATATGGAGCATTGGAGAGGTCTCTAGGATGATCTAGAGAATTCTGAGAGTCCCTCACTAATCTAACATGTGTATTTCTAGATAGTTCCTTGTATATATCTAGATAGGATATTTCTAGAGAATTAATTATAGCCATTAGATTAAATAGATCCTAGCCATCCATCGAGGAGGTAGAAGGCTATAGATAGGGGAGGCCTTCACTTGGCCAAGACACCTAGACATTCACAAACTTAAGAGAGTGTGTCTTTAGAGTTGTAAGCTTTTAGAAAGCAATACAAAGAGTATTTTATATCTCTTGTGTGTGTCTTTCTTACTTAACAACTTTGTGTGAGGAATGCCGACTTGGTTTGTCTTAGAGAAGAAGAGAACCAAGTGCCGCACGTGAGCTTGGGAAAGGCCAAGTCCATGACAATTTGCTTACATAGATTTTGAAAACATCAACCATAACTGTTTAGGATGCTACATAAAATCTCCACAAGGTGAATTTTCACTTGCAAAATCTTCTGTTTTACTTACCATATCACGTGCTCCACAATATCTTTGTTGCCCAGCCCCACTTTCATCGCACAAATTGGATCATGCTTATGGGATCATGCACTTGATTTTGCATCACAGCTGCCCTTCGTGTCGTGTCACAATATTTTCAGCTGAATGGCCTGATTGAATGCATCACACAAATTTTCGCATTTCATATTCGTGGTGATCAAACATATTTACATTTGTCTGATTGCGATTTTATTTTACTTTCCATCTTCGATTGTTTGCGAACTAATTCATGTTTTAACTGGCTTATATGTTTTCAGGTGTTACATAATAACATGGCTTCTCAGTTATCAACACTTAAGATGTATGCCAGTGGAGGACCTATTCAAGTTTGTCTGGACGACAACAACTGGTGGACGCACAACCAGCTTCAATTGTGTTTTTGTCGACGCTGAGGTTCGTTAAAATCCATTTTCTTAAACACTATCCCAATAAATATATTTCCAAAACATTGCTTTGGAACTTTCTAGCATACAACTATTGGTGTATATGACTGATAGACCTTTCTAGCTTGAACATTCATTAGTAAATTGCCCACAACTCTCCTCAAGGAAATTCTGAATCATGCTCTGTTTGATGCGTTAAGAACTAGACTGATAGACCTTTCCATCACTATATTGCTTGCCAGGTTTTCTTATGAAAATTAGAGATGTTTTTCTTTCGAGTTTGACATAAATACCTGACTGTTGTGTGGTTCAATTTCGAAGATGAACTCCGATTTTCAGATTGAAGGTTTTCTGCCATCAATGCTGCAGATACTGGTTTGAGTCATTATAATATTTATGAATTTTTGGAACATGAAATTTTTGCGTGTACATCGATCAAGAAATTATTGAAGTGAATCGGACAAGGTTTTTCAAACAAATCCAAAAGGCCCATTTGACCCTAAGAGACCATCGTGAATTTCAATAGCCCAAAATCAATTTATTAACATTCAGCTCCAGGTTGAATTGTCCCATGCTTTTATTTATTATTATTATTTATTTATTTTTGGGTCTCATCTAGAAATAATGTTTTTCGATTTTCATAGGAAAAAAGTGAAATGCATGCTTTCCATTTTATTTTTTCATAAAAAACAATATAAATTACATGTTATTCTTTGTTTTTATAACCAACGGTAATAAAATGATTTTCAACTTACCTATTAATAATTTGAAACTTTAGAAATTAGAGTGGCAATCTTTTCAGCAAATGGTTTTTTTTTTTATAGTAAATAATCTGTAAACATTATTATACTCATGAATAATGAATTGTTAATTACATATTAAAGAAAATTAATTTTTTTAAACATGATTTAGCAATTACAAAAAATATTCATGGAATATTATTTTGTGAGCTAATCTTAATATAAATATTTTTTTTATTAGAAAAAAATATAATTTTTATTTCATTCATCAATGAAGCTAAAGTTTCAGTTTCCAGAAAACAAAGTTTAGGTTTTTTTCAGTAATACAGAATTGGAAGAAAAGGGAAATACGTACTTTGAAGAAAGGGGGATATTTAATTGTATGGTATATAGTATATTAATATAGTGGAGCAATGGCTTAAGGTTTAGTTGTACTAGCTGAAAGAAAAAAAGAAGGTTGTACTTGCTCTTAACTTTTCTACTGAAAATGGTGTATCTGATTTGTGTGGGTTGAAATTAATTTCATCTTTTGTTATTCTGTTTAATCTTTTATTATTCTGTTTATTCTTGATTAAATGATTTTATTTCATAGTTTTTTTTTATTTCTCTTCTGAATTATTGAAATATTCTCATACGAAAGATTGTCTTTGATAACTTCAATTGAGACATGTTTTTTATTTCCTTTTGGATACATTTAGTTTCCCCCATTTTCCTCTGTTTCCTTTCTTTTCCCTTCCTAATATTATTAGCATCTAAAAACAAAGGAAACTAAATTCATTTCCTTTCATTACCCTCATCTATATTCCTTTCCCTCGAAACATACACACTATAAAACAAAGGCACGTAGCTAAATCAACAACTAGCTTTTCAACTCTTCCTAAAGAGTTTAAACTACATTCAACTAAGATTTCTATTTGTTGTTTTCAAATCTAATCTCAAAATCGCCTGTGAATTATTAATTAATTGTTCTCCACTTTTGAGCCTTGCAGACCTGACAAACAATATTTGTTTATATAATATGCTCTGGAATGTATTTTACAGCAATGTTCATATCATGAAAGATCTTACAAACTGAACTTTTTCGGTGCTTTTTGCATTTACAGCTTTGGTTACGAGACACATAAATCTTGACTTTCTTTTGGGCAATATGATGGATGATAAAATTGAAGCTATCTTTTTCAGCTTTAAAATATATATGATAACTTTTGATTTGGTTTGTTAGGAGGGGTGAAGGATTTCTGCTTGGCTTTAAGAGACAATGCAGCATTTGGTTGCATATGTCAATGATATAAAATAGCAATGTCTGCATGTTCACATCCGAATGATCCAGCTATAGAGTAAATTGACATGTGTAGTAATGATAACATTGAGGATCCAAAACCAATCAATCAAGCAAAATTAAAACAGGAGGTTGGGGTAAAGATGCAATGAGCTGAGAAGAGACCCGCTTTAAGCATTCATGCATGGCTTTTTGAAATATGAAATAGATATTTATTTTATCCAGTATAATAAATATATATTAAAAATATCTAATGAGTAATAAGTGGGGTAAAGATGGAAAAAAAAACTGCATATAAGTTAATATAACTTTCCTATAGCTATATATTCACTTTATACCTTATTAATGTTCACTATATTAATTGTTTTGAAAAAAAAAAAAAAAAGGTTAACCTTTGAGAATCTGATTGTACAAACTTTATAAACACAAGGACTGAAATGTTTTTTTAATAAAAATTTGAGAATCAAAAAACTTATAAATAAATAATCAAATTGTAAAAAGAATTAATTTTAAAAATCAAAATAATGCTAAGATAATGAAATATAAATCGTATATGAGTTTAGAGGATAATTTTTTAATAAATATAGACATGATATTTTTTTTAATAGAGAGTTCCTTTAAGATAATGAAATACAAGATTGGGATCATTGTGTTTTTTTTTTTTTTTATATGCTAATTCAATATCATGCATGATCAACCAAAAAGCAAGTAGTAGCTCAATCAAGCAAAGTACGTGCTACACTTAATTTGTCTGTTGCTATTTCAGATTTTCTATAGATTTCCTATATTTTATGTGGACTTGAACATTCTATTAAACCACTTGTTATTTTGTACTCGGATAACATATATGATAGCAATGCAACTTGCAGCAAATCATATTTTAGCTTAGGTAACTACGCACGCACAGTCCAATTTCGGAAGGAAAAAAAAAATCATTGGACAACCATTGGCTAGCTACTGATGAATTGATTAGTCTAACTAATTCCAGCAGAAAGAAACAGGAAACAAGCACAAAAAAAAAAAAAAAAAAAAAAAAAAAAGTAAAAATAAATAATTGATTGGACACAAGTCAGCAAAATCATGAATATGGAAAAAACAATTTAACCAAAACGATTTTAAAAATAGATGTAAGACATTGAAACAAATAAAAAAAAGAGTGAGAAAACTAATAAAAAATCAAAAAGCAGTTTAAGAAATGAAGAGGTAGTAGAAATGGTACATTCTACTTTCAGGACTCACTGGAAATCTTAATTTGCCCAATACAAAGTCCAGTTTCAAAAATCCATTGTTCGTCAATCAGAAGATAATCTTTGCTACAAATCCATAAGAATACAAATGGAAACAATGGATGAAACTGAAAGAACAAACCAGCAAAAAAATCATTCATTACACATTGCATTCGGAATTCTTAAAATAACCCCTGACTAGAAAAGGTCATATAGCCTATCTATCGAACAGAGAGAAGAAGTTGTAGTCGGTGCTTGATTGCATTATCTTCCCACTCTAGTTCTTCATCCCACCATTCACTGCTGCTACCTCCAATCTTCCTTAATTTTGGTGCATCAACCAGGCTACTAGGAAGAGATTTTACATTAATGCATTTGCGAATCCAGATTTCCTCTATTGAGGCGGAAGCCAATGACACAATCTTATCAATACTGACGAGTTTGGGGAGAGATTGAAGTTCTAAGAGCTCCAACCTTGGGAGCTGATGACCATCACTTCTGATCATCTCAGGTTCAATCTCATTCTCTTCAAAAATATCTTCAAGCCGATCGCAGGTAACTGATGGAAAGGCTCTCCAATTTAGACAGTTGCTTGATCATGTCCCAGGAGAAAATGTGTTTTCTGTGATGACATGTGTCCAATCTCAAAGAATTGAGATTTGAGAAGCTTCTTATTGACGGTTGCCCTTCTATTATTGCTCTCAGTTTCGGCAAACAGCTCAACTTCAAATTCTCCAAATCAGCTAAAATGTCGCCTCCTTCTGACTCATCCCCATTTGCAAGAATCTCAATGTCATCACAGCTCCACACCATAACAAATTCTGAGGCCTTTAAGGTTTTGCATGCCAAATTCAGACAGTGTTTTGATACCACGAGATGACACCATAAACTCTTGGGAACGGCTAAGTACTCTCAGTTATTGTAGGAGGGATCGGGGTAGTAGGAGAATCCTGGCAATCGTATAATATCAAAGCTCCATGGCTCAACTCCGGCTGCGGATATACTGAGCGATCCAAAATTATTATTGACAAAAAATCGGAAGTTCAAGAACCTTTGTTCTTTCCATGACCAACTTGTTGAGAGGAAACGCTCAAGGTTTTCAACCTTCGGAAAAGAGAGACGAATTTTAGTCAAATTTCTCAAACAAGCCACCTCATCCAGCATAGCAACGTGCGCAGACTGCAACAACTTCACACCAATTTGCAGTTGCTCCAATGAGATGAGACTTTTTATCACCCCAGCAGGAATATCCACCGTCGTGATAAGGTGGTAAGCAGTTGAAAATATAAAACTAATAAGACGATTCAAATTCATGATATCAAATGGTAAGCGCTGGACCGCAACTGCAATCATTTGAAGTTCTTCGAGCTTCTTTAGAGATCCCACTTCAGATGGAAGCTCTGCAAGAGCCTCAGAATTATTCAAATATAGCCCTTGAAGATTCACCAAACTGCTAATAGATGATGGTAGTGATCTGATGCTGGTGTACGATAGGTCTAAAACTCGAAGCTCTGCCAAGTGCTGAAAGAACTTGTTCGGAATCGTCTGTAACCGCAAATTATGTTGGAGAAACAATGTTGAAAGAATAGGACAATCCAGAGATTCGGGTAAAGTGCCCAATGCGTTACTCATCAATGAAATGCGTTTCATTCGCTTCCATTCCTCCTCGTTTCCATACCATCCATCTCTCAAACCAGCTCTTACCAAAAACTTGTTGTCATTATTTCCTCTTGGCGATGTGATAATTAATGCTAGATCCCGTAACAAATCATGCATCCTACAACGAGAGTATCCAACCTTCTCCAACAAAGATTTTTGAACAAGAGTATTCAATAGGTCACGACCTTTATTATAGCCATCGATTATAGATTTTGCACCACCAGTCAGTCCCTCTGCTCTCCAATACTCTATCAATTCATCGACTTTTATGCTCTTCATCTTCAGGATACAGCGCACAATATAAAAAGCATTGCTTGATGTTGTCATCTCCCAGTTTATCATAACTGAATCTCAGTGGCTTAAAGACACGATCTTCCATGCTTCCTATAGAAGAGGATGTGGAAGATCGGAGTTCTCTCAATTTATTGCACCACACATGGACATCATCGGTATTTCTCAAGGCTGCTCCCAAAACAATTATTGCAAGTGGCAGACCATCGCATTCCTCAACTGCAGCATTAGCATATGGACTGATGCTCCTATCATTCACAACATCACCAGCCTTGTGGGCAAACAAATTCCATGCTTCGTCCTGAGACAAACGATCCACTTTTACAATTTCATCTATATCCATATCGTTGCACACCGTTTGGTCTCTAGTTGTCAACACAACCTTACTACCTTTTTCTTGCTCGTTAAGATTAGGGATGCCGATATCGCCCAAATCTAAGCTTCTCCATACATCATCCAGCAGCAACAAGAACTTCTTGGATCTCAGATTTTGGTAGATTTTGTTTGCGACTGTGTGAATGGGATCTGCATCGTTTACATCAACTGACAAACGCTTTGCAACATCCTTTTGAATCTTCTCAACACTCCCCTGACTTGAGACCGTAACCCATATGACAATTTCAAAAGTTATTGAGATCTCCGATAAGTTATTCAAAGCTTTCAGTACAGTTGTCTTCCCCACACCACCCATTCCCCAAATTCCTATCTGATGGATCTTTTCACTTCTTATGTGTGCCAATACCTTCTGCAAAGTACGGTTAATTGGTGCAGGCTCCATTGTCCTCGGCAGCTGCAAAAACTCAGCAGCAGGTGGCGGTGCATCAAGAACAATGCCTCCTTCAAACTTTGACATCTCTTGGAGCTCACCAATACGAACAACTGCTTCCTCAATACACTTACCTAAACTCATACGCCATTTTATATCAGGAAACAAACCCAACAGACATTTCTTATTTTGTGCATACTCATCTTTAATCTCACGTCTACGTTGTTCAATCTTTTCCACATCATCAATCCAACCTTTAAATACTGCATTAGGCACTTTATCATCATCACTTGAGAGTTCCCTTTCGATGTCTTGTCTTCGGTTTGATAAATATCGAGCTTCCGCGTCAAGGTTTTCTATCTTCTCACCTAGTCTTCTGGCAAGCTGTATCCGGCGACCAACAGGAGCCCACATCAGTTTTATCAAATCCCACACGGGTCCAATACAATTTTCCATTTCCACTGCAGCAAATAAAAGCATAATGTACAATTAATTAAGGTGATCTGTTGCAATATACCTGAAAGCTTGAGCACCAAAATTTTGGGCAATAAGCATATAAATTAGTAAACCAAACTTTAGTCCCTAGAAAGCTTAATGATCGCGTGCGGGAACCCACTAAATTCTATGTTGTGAAACGTCCAGAATTCTTCTTACCATTAAAAAAAAGATTAAAATCAAGAGATTAACTAAATGCATACCATGATATATAATTTATGACATTGATTGTACATTTGATTTGGAAAACAGCTTCTGCCTCCGAAACATTTCGACTATTTTTGACGTACGTGAATGATGCAGTACTAATTTCTCTGAATTTTGGTTGATGATGTGTTATGTAGAATACTAAAATAAGAATAACGAAAACATTAATAAATAATATTATACAAAATTCATCAATTAACACTAAGCACTAATCTACGTACTCGATAGAAAGCCCCCAAAAAAAAAAAATCTCTACTCCCATGCGTGATTCAAGATCTGTGTTCTAAAGATTGCAATTTACCTGATCAGTCAAAATAGCTCCAATTAATAGTACAGCTATGCAATATCAGTCACTTCCTTCACAAAAATCACAGCTACTGCCTCCAAACACTTGAAAATCTGTTGTCATAAATAGAACAAATACAATTAGCTTCTTTCCAACCCATCGTGAGCTAGCTAGGTAAAGAAGACGAGAAAAAGAACATACATACGCACCGATCTTTAGGAGGAGAAAGCAAATGAACTTATGAAAGACCCAACTCCGAACAACAATCACTTAAATTCCTAGTCTCAATTAAGTGTTTTCTGTTTTTTTTTTTTTTTTTTTTTTGGTGCCCTTTGAAAACTATAGACTGAAGATGAGAACAAGCTGCGAAGTACTGATTAACTTCCTGGAAACATCTTCATAAACTCTTGGTTTCTTCGACATTCGTATTATAAATTAAAGTGGTACAGTTGGCCGATCCTATTGCCGTAGATCATTAAGTATAAATTAGTCACAGCCGTTCAAAGTGGAATGAAATGAAAGGGTCCTACAGAACGACAAAGGAAACAAGCACCTATCCCAGAATCCATCCATTTTAGTGAATTGTTTATGAGTAGTTTCAAAGGAAGAAAAAATTTTGGTTAAGCAACCACATCATGGATTGGACTAAAGGGATTATATTAACCTTCTTTGATTTCCTCAACTCATTACTATATTGCAATGAAACAAATTTCACGCCATTGTCACTGCCAACTCCCTGAAACGTGACAATTTTATATAAGCGACAGCATGAAGCATTCCCAATACAAAATGCAATTAAATGCTGTAAAATCCAACAATGCAATGTACCTATACCACTAAATCACATCTAATAGTTGGTATTGAAATTATTTAAACGATACAAACAAGCTTAACCTAGTAATTATGCATCCAATTAGTTTCTCTAGTAAAGCAAGATTGGAGTCCTGATAGCTCTATTTTTTTTAATAATTATGTAATGGGAGGGTTACTCCCATTTTGTAACCCAATAGGTCCATTGGATCTCCAATAAATTTTTTAAAAAAAATGTATCTTTTAACCGTATATATTTTGGGATGTATTTGTGTCAAACCTGAATTGTTGGAAAGTAATAATATATGCTCATTTCTTAATAAGAAATTCAAGAACTTAATTTCATGAGTGGGATAAAAATCTATCAATCAAACATAAAATGAAAAAAAGGACTAATATTGTTTATACAAAGGAGACTAACTAATTTGTTTTTTAAAACTAAAGTGACTAGTTTATAATTTACAGCGGAACGAACCCATGACCCGGCTGCTAAATTTGTAGCGGGGGCCTAGCAGGGCACACACATGATGCTGGGCTCAAGGTTATTGACCTGGCTTGGCCCATCAAAAAATATATCCATCTATCAGCCGATACTTTCGTCTCAAGCTGAGAAATTATGGGATTGAAAAGGGATAAATTCATTGTGATGTCAATAATTTTTTTAATAAAAAAAACCCTTATAATTTGATTTTTGATATGTAAGTATTTGTGGTTTTTTCATTCATTTAGACGAATATGTGTGGTAATATATTACAAGCATATATTATTTTTGAAAAAAATGAGGATTTTTGTGTTCAAAAAATAAAAGTATAGAGGTTAAAAAACCATTTTAATTTATTATCCAATCACTAGTAGTCAAATTTTCAATTTGTTTCTTTCGTTTTTTCGCCAAAAAAAAAGTACTGTAGATAGGAGAGAACATTACAGAAGACTCTAAAAGATGTGGGGGTGAGATTTTTTTTCCCCCTTTTCTATAATCAGCATATTCTCTCCTTCTGAGCTGGCCATCTCTTTTTGCTTCTCTTTTCCCTCTTCCGTAGCCAACAGAAGGAAGGGAGATTGGAAAAAATATATATATATATATATATAATTGTAGAGGGCAGAGATGGACGCTGAATCATATATTTGAAATCTAATATACTATTTTAAGTTTTAAGTTGATAAAATATTAAAGTTTTATTATCAAATGAAAACAAGTTTCAATTTTACATTATAAATTGATTTAACTAATTTGATTTAAAAAATAATTAATTTCATTTTTTTATTTATCAAAATAAAAAATATACTTATAGTACATTTAAACACAATTATGAAATATATATATTTTATTAAATATTGCATAATATATATTAAATTAAACAAATTTCTCAAAATTAGGATTAATTGATTTTTATTTTACGCTTAAATTTTTTAATTATTTAAAATATTAAAATATATTATATAGACTTACGCTAACACGGGGGTATGCTAATTTTCTGTTAGTTTCAACTTTGCCAGCTATAAATTATACGGCAATTGTGACTCTATCTTATAAAATAAACCAACCCATGAATTTCATATGCCACGTTGGCTTAGAAGACAACCATAAGCCACAAAATATGGATCATGTCACTAATTGTTCAGGTCTAGTGCTTAAATACACTTCATGCATTTATAACTCGATCTTATAGTATCAAGATCATTTAGCAATCACAGTTGCCGAAATTCCCATTAAAAAAAAAAAGGAGGAAACTATTGATTAGGTAAGGATCAATAAAGTCAGGGAATAATAGAATTATCAATTTTACATTATAAACGAATAGTTAATTATTTTTGTTTTATTTTTATTATTCATTCTAAATTTTTTGTCTAATAGTAAAGTTTTTAAATTTTTTATTTTATCGAGTAATTACTAATAATTACTCCCGAACAGCCCAGCCCAATATTCAAACTTTAAAGCCCAAATCACTGTACTAGTGTAGATTGGTCCAACAATCAAGAGATTATGGTTATTCTATGACAACATGCAAGCCCTACAAAGCCGAGATCATAAAGTATAAATAAGTCACAAACGTTCCAACAAGGCAATTTAATTTAATTATAATCAGTCCCACTAGCACTAACATGCATTATAAAATCAAAAAAGGCTGTAGGACTTCAATAAAAAATAAAATAAAATAAAAATGAAATTAAGGGTCACCGCAGAAAGAAACAGGAAACAAGCACAAAAAAAAAGTAAAAATAAATAATTGATTGGACACAAGTCAGCAAAATCATGAATATGGAAAAAACAATTTAACTTGTAGGCGCTGCTTGATTGCATTATCTTCCCACTCTAGTTCTTCATCCCACCATTCACTGCTGCTACCTCCAATCTTCCTTAATTTTGGTGCATCGACCAGGCTACTAGGAAGAGATTTTACACTAATGCATTTCTGAATCCAGATTTCCTCTATTGAGGCGGAAGCCAATGACACAATCCTATCAATACTGACTAGTTTGGGGAGATCACCAAGGTATAAGTTCTTCAACCTTGGGAGCTGATGACCATCACTTCTGATCATCTCAGGTTCAATCTCATTCTCTTCAAAAATATCTTCAAGCCGATCGCAGTTGCTGATGGAAAGGCTCTCCAATTTAGACAGTTGCTTGATCATGTCCCAGGAGAAAATGTGTTTTATGTGATGACATATTTCCAATCTCAAAGAATTTAGACAGTTGCTTGATCATGTCCCTTCCAGTATTGCTCTCAGTTTCGGCAAACACCTCAACGTCAAATTCTCCAAATCAGCAAAAATCTCGCCTCCTTCTGACTCATCCCCATTTGCAAGAATCTCAATGTCATCACAGCTCCACACCATACACTTTCTGAGGCCTTTAAGGTTTTGCATGCCAAATTCAGACAGTGTTTTGATACCACGAGATGACACCATAAACTCTTGGGAACGGCTAAGCACTCTCATTATTGTAGGAGGGATCGGGGTAGTAGGAGAATCCTGGCAATCGTACAATATCAAAGCTCCATGGCTCAACTCCGGCTGCGGATATACTACGGGAAACGAATCAGCATGACAAAAAATAGGAAGTTCAAGAGACTTTGTTCTTTCCAAGACCAACTTGATGAGAGGAAACGCTCAAGGTTTTCAACGTTTGGAAAAGAGAGATGAATCTTAGTCAAATTTCTCAAACTAGCCACCTCGTCCAGCATAGCAACGTGCGCAGACTGCAACAACTGTTAGGTTTCCCTCCTAGTTGGAGGATGGCCCAAAGTTTGCCTACATGAGCCCAATTTCGAAGCCCATGTAGAGGACGATTTTTATTAATCACTTAAAGGGTAATTTTAGTATTTTCAAATAAACCTGATCTTCTCTTTTATTCTGAAATCAGATTAGAGAAGAAGAAAGAGATAAAAAGAAGAGAAAAGGAGTGAGAGCCGCAACTTTGAAGAGAAAAAGGAAATAGAATTTCAGCACAGATCAGTCATGCTAAAATTAAGTTTTTGGGTTCGTTAACCGTTGGATCGAGCTCAAATTTTGTGAGCATGTTCAGGAGAGGCAGGCGCACATTCTAGAAGGTGGAGATCAGGTTCGGAGTCCTGGAGAGGGAGATATTATGCTCGTAATAGTGCTATTTTCCGGTGAAATCTGAACTTGGTTTTTTCTACTTTCTTTGTGTATCATCTTTTGATGTGGTTTGCCAAGGGTGTGTAATCTTTGATGTTTGTGGCTGATTATTCATCTAGTTTAATCTAGAGAGAACTCCTTGTACCCATTATTATTGATAGTGGAAGTTATAGTGGACTCCGGTTCAGTGGTTTTTCACTTCTCAAATTGAGAAGGTTTTCCACATAAAAATTTGTGTGTGCTTTACGTGATTGTGATTTGTTGCTTATTTTTCAGATTATTAGTTACTTGTTTGGTTTGGGTATTTGGTTGTAGCTTGTGGTTGATTGTTCAAGCAAGGGCAAAGAGGTTTCACTGTGTTATTTGTGTTTTTTTGCCCAATAATAATTTCACACCAATTTTCGAGTTGCTCCAATGAGATGAGACTTTCTATCACCCCAGCAGGAATATCCACCAACCTATAGTCCGCACGTTAAAATATAAAACTAATAAGACGATTCAAATTCATGATATCAAATGGTAAACTCGGACCTCAATCGCAATCATTTGAAGTTCTTCGAGCTTCTTTAGAGATCCCACTTCGGATGGAAGCTCTTCGAGAGCATAACAATACTTCGGATATAGCCCTCGAAGATTCACCAAACGACTAATAGATGATGGTAGTGATTCGATGTCTGGTGTACGAAAGGTCTAAAACTCGAAGCTCGCCAAGTTCTTTCGGAATTGTATCTAATTTATCATTCCATTGGAGAAACAATGTTGAAAGAATAGGACAATCCGGAGATTCGGGTAAAGTGCCCAATTCGTTATTTATGAATGAAACGCGTTTCATTTGCTTCCATTCCTCCTCATTTCCATAGGATCCATCTCTCAAACCAGCTTTTACCAAAAACTTATTGTCATTATTTCCTCTTGGCGATGTGATAATTAATGCTAGATCCCGTAATAAATCATGCATCCTACAATTAGAGTATCCAACCATCTCCAATAAAGATTTTTTAACAAGAGTATTCAATAGGTCACGACCTTTATTATAGCCATCGATTATAGATTTTGCATCACCAATCAGCCCTCTCGCTCTCCAATGCTCTATCAATCCATCGACTACTATGTGTTCATCTTCGGGATACGGCGCACAATATAAAAAGTATTGCTTGATGTTGTTATCTCCCGGTTGATCATAACTGAATCTCGGTGGCTTAAAGACACGATCTTGCATGCTTCATATAGAAGAGGATGTGGAAGATCGAGTTCTCTCAATTTATTGCACCACACATAGGCATCATCGGTATTTCTCAAGGCTGCTCCCAAAACAATTATTGCAAGTGGCGGACCATCACATTCCTCAACTGCAGCTCTTAGCATATGGATCGATGCTCCTATCATTCACAACATCACCGACCTTGTGGGCAAACAAATTGCATGCTTCTTCCTCGGACAAACGATCCACTTTTACAATCTCATCTATGTCCATATCGTTGCACACCGTTTGGTCTCTAGTTGTCAACACAACCTTACTACCTTTTTCTTGCTCGTGAAGATTAGAGATGCCAATATCGCTCAAATCTAAGCTTCTCCATACATCATCCAACAACGAACAAGAACTTCTGGAACTCGAATTTGGTAGATTTTATTTGCAATCGTATCAAAGCATAATTAGTTGATACTCGCTATGAGTGTCCCACGTGTATTTTGCATGTGTGTTAGTCCGTTTAAATTGCCAAGGTTAGTTAGGGAATTTCATCATGATTAGTTAGTCGGTTTCAAATGTCCCTTGTTACCGTTATATATAAAGATGAAAATGCAGCAGAAGCGTAAGAGTGAGAATTTTACTCCTCTCCCAAATCTTTGTTCCGTTTCAAAACTTGACATGGTATCGTAGCATTCATCAAGTTTCTAGAAGGTTCCTTTCTTGAGTTTTCCGAGGAACCAAACAACTAAATTTTTCTTTCGTCTCTCCAAAGTCGAATTACCGCATCCTCTCGTTAATCCTTCCGTGAGTTTCACAAGTTTGAGACCCGAGGAACGGATGTCCAGATCCTTACTTTCTTCATGCTAATGAAAATCCTTTTCTTGTTTTGGTTTCTCCTCCACTCACCGATTCTAACTATCATTCCCGGCATCGCTCTACGAGGATGGCGCTTCGTCTAAGAACAACCTGCAGCTTGTTGATGGAACTATCAAAGTTCCGGACAAGTCCGATGCTTTATATTTGGCTTGGGAGAGATGCAATATGATGGTGCTTTCCTCGGCTCATTCGATCTCTCTCTCCCGAGATCGCTCAAAGAGTCATTTGGCTAGATAAGTGCTTCAGAAGTCCGGTCAATCTACGTGATCGATTCTCCCATGGTGATTACTTTAGAATTGCAAAGCTTCAAGAGGAGATTTATTCCTATAATCAAGGTGTTCTCTCTCGTTACTCATTATTTCACTCACTTGAAAATACTTTGGGATGAGTTTTCGAATCTAAGAACTATACCTCAATGCACATGCAATCCTCAATGCTATTGTGAAGCCTTTCAAAGAATCAAGAATTTTCAAAACTCGTGATTATGTGATTCGTTTTTCGAAGGGTTTAAATGATAATTTTACAACTCGTACGGTCTCAAATCTTGTCGATGGATCCTCTTCCGTCCATTAATAAAGTTTTTGGCATGGTTATTCGAGCATGAACATCGGCTAAATGTAGGATTTGGAGTATCAAGTTCAAATAGCAACAACAATTCTAGTCGTCGTTTTCTTTAATAAGTCCGTGTCTTAGCATAATCGTTCTCGACAAGGTCGTAGAAGTTTTTCTCCCTCCTCTTCTCGTTAGAGTTCTTGCTTCGGAAGAGATGCTTTCACGAGTCGGAGGAAGACAGGTTTATAATGGGAAGTCAAAGCTTCAATGTGTGTTTTGTGGTCTTCCGGATATACTCGTGGATAGGTGCTATCGAAGCATGGATTTCCTCCGAGCTACAAATCATTTGATAAAGCTGGTGGTGGTTTTAATGGTTTTTCCAATCGAGTTGAGATCCGTAGTACCGAAGGCCTACATGAAGCTTGTAATTCTTCTAGTAGTGTGTTTTCTAGTAATCAACTTGTCGCTCCCGGTGATTCTAGTCCCGTTCCCGGTGGTGTGCAAGCTTCTTTCACTGCAGATCAATACTCCAAACTTCTAGCCTTAATTCAACCCCAATCACGACTGTTATGTCTACTACTCGTCAATGCCTTGTCTAGTAACTTCACTTCCATGACGGTACTTATAATTCCTTTTGTGGTTCCGTGATTTCTAATCCAACTCGTGGATATTAGATACCGGTGCCACGGACCACATTGTTTGCTCCTTAGATTTTTTTTCGAATACAATCCAGTTTCTCATATCTCTGTCAAGTTGCCTAATGGCCAACAAGTAGCAGATTACGCATGTTGCATTAGTTCGGTTGTACGATGCACTTATCTTGCATAATGCTTTTTTGTTCCCGCTTTTCCTTCAATCTTATCTCGGTAAGTTAGCTAACCAAAAACTCCGGATGCTCTTTGTTCTTTCATTCGATTCTTGTGTTATACGAGACCATCGGTCGAAGAGGATGATTGGTACAGTGAGCGAGAAACAAGGGTTGTATCAGTTGATAACTCCACTCCACTTAAATACTCATCATACTTCGCTTCAAATACCATTGTTCATGATTCTTTTGATGTATGGCATTATAGACTAGGTCATCCTTCAAATTCCAGATTACTTGCTTTACATTCTCTCCGTAAAGATGTACCCGCCGACATCTCTAATCCTCAATGTGATATTTGCCATTATGCAAAGCAAAAACGTCTTCCTTTTCCCATTAGTTCCTCCTTTTCTACAAAGTGTTTTGAACTTGTTCATGCGGATATTTGAGGTCCCATGGCACATCCCTCTTTGTCCGGCTATCAATACTTCCTTACTATTGTTGATGATTATAATCAAGCTACACGGGTTTTTTTGATGAAACACAAATCGACACAAGAAAGCTCATTGAAAATTATTGTACTCTTATTGAAACTCAATTTTCTACCAAGATTCTAACCTTCGAACGGATAATGGCCAAGAGTTCAATATGCCTTCTTTCTTTGCTTCGAAAGGCATTCTCCACCAAACCTCATGTGTCAAAACACCCCAACAAAACGAGTATTGTTGAGAGAAAACATCAACACATACTAACGATTGCTAGAGCTCTTAGGTTTCGAGCCAATCTTCCACTTGTTTTTGGGCGGATTGTGCTCTTCATGCCGTTCACTTAATCAATAAAATTCCTACACTCGTATTGAATGATAAAACACCTTTTGAGCTTTTGTTTGGAAAAATTCCCATTTATAACAATCTTAAGGTCTTCGGTTGTCTCTGTTTTGCATCTAATCTTGCCCCGAAGGCTAAGTTTGATTCAAGAGCTTCCAAATGCATTTTCTTGGGTTTTCCCACTGGTACAAAAGGCTATAAACTTTATAACCTACATACTGGCGAGTATCACGGTTGTCTAGAGATGTCATTTTCTATGAGCACATCTTTCCTTTTGCTTGTTTGTCTCAATATTCTACATCCTCTCCTAATTTTGTGCTTCCAAACATCCTTCCGAGCCTTGTATAGATAATTCCCCTACATTTCCTTTAACAAACACTATCATACCCTCAACCAATTCACCCACCTTACCTATTTTCATCCCTCCTTCAAATAATGCCTCTTCGTAATCATTTCCCGCTCCTTCCGGACGATCCACACGATCCAAAACTCCTCCTACATATCTTCAAGATTATCATTGTGCACTACACAATCAATCGACTCAAGTTTTGCCTTCTGCTGGTTGTGCTTCTTTTCCTCCCACAGGTTCTACTCCTCACTTTTTATCTTCGAGTGTTATCCTATTCTAAATGTTCATTACCTCATAAACTCTTTAGTATCAGTATCTCTACTACCATTGAGCCTAGCACTTACCATCAAGCGGTTCGGTTTGATTGTTGGAAAATAGCTATGAATGAAGAAATCAAGGCTCTACAAGCCAATCATACTTGGGAACTCACCGATCGCACTCGCTCGGTAAACAAAGTATAGGGTGTAAATGGGTGTATAAGATCAAATATAAGGCCGATGGGTCCCTAGAAAGGTACAAAGCCCGTTTGGTTGCTAAGGGATACACACAACAAGCGAGTGTGGATTACTTAGATACCTTTTCTCCCGTAGCCAAGATGACTACAATTCGAACTTTGTTAGCAACTGCTAGTTATTAACAATTGGCACTTGCACCAATTGGACATTAATAATGCATTTCTTCATGGAGACTTAGAAGAAGAAGTGTATATGGATTTGCCTTTGGGATTTCGTAGTCCAAAACCAAACCAAGTCCGCAGGTTGTTAAAATCTCTCATGGCCTCAAGCGAGCCAGTAGGCGATGGTATGCGAAGTTATCTACCGCTCTCCTTGCCCAACATTTTGTTCGGGGTGCCTCCGATCCTTCTCTCTTTGTCAAATCCACATCTTCTTCCTTCATTGCTTTTCTCATTTATGTTGATGATGTTATTTTAGCCAGCAATGATATGGAAGAAATAGGAGCGATGAAGGCCTTTTTACATGAGACATTCGGGATCAAGGATTTGGGTGAGCTGAAATTCTTCTTAGGCCTTGAGGTTGCACGATCTTCTCATGGGATCGGTTTATGTCAAAGGAAATATGCCCTAGAATTATTGCAAGATGTAGGTTTTATTGGTGCCAAACCCGCAAAATCACCTATGTTAGCTACTCGTCAAGTTAAGCGCCGAAGATAGCACTCTTCTTCCCGATACTTCTATTTACAGGAAATTGGTTGGTCGCTTACTCTATCTCACAAACACTAGACTCGATCTCTCCTATGCGAGTGCAACAATTAAGTCGGTTTCGGACGGACCAACCTAAGCTCACCTTACGAGCAGCACATGTGGTCCTTCGATACATCAAAGGTTCTCCCGGTCAAGGTCTATTTTTTGCTTCAAACAATCAATTTCAACTTAAGGGATTCTCCGACTCGATTGGGCTACTTGTGTGGATAGTAGGCGTTCATCACTTGGTTTTTGCGTGTTTCTAGGTTCATCGCTCATATCCCGGAAATCAAAAAAGCAAGCTGATTGTCTCACGGTCTTCCTCCGAAGCCGAATACGAGGCACTTGCAGCGAGTTACTTGTGAAATGCAATGGCTGATATACCTACTAAAAGACCTTCATCTTCCTCACACTCACCCGACGATTGATTTTCTGCGACAACCAATCCGCAATTCATATCGCCAAAAACCCCGTTTTCCATGAAAGAACAAAGCACATTGAAATAGATCGCCACATTGTGAGGGAGAAGCTTCGCGAGGATCGTCCATCTCCTTCCTATAAGTTCAACTAATCAATTGGCTTATTGTTTCACCAAGCCATTGGCACCTGCAGATTTTACTCTACAAATTTCCAAGCTAGGCATTTTAGATCTTTATGCACCAGCTCTAGCTTGCGGGGGTATCAAAGCATAATTAGTTGATACTTGCTATGAGTGTCCCACGTGTATTTTGCATGTGTGTTAGTTTGTTTAAATTGCCAAGGTTAGTTAGGGAATTTCATCATGATTAGTTAGTCGGTTTCAAATGTCCCTTGTTACCGTTATATATAAAGATGAAAATGCAGCAGAAGCGGAAGAGTGAGAATTTTACTGTGTGAATAGGATCTGCATCGTGTACATCAATTGACAAACGCCTTGCAGCATCCTTTTGAATCTTCTCAAAACTCCCCTGACTTGAGACCGTAACCCATATGACAATTTCAAAAGTTATTGAGATCTCCGGTAAGTTATTCAAAGCTCTCACTACAGTTGTCTTCCCGACACCACCCATTCCCCAAATTCCTATCTTATGGATCTTTTCACTTCTTATGGGTACCAATAACTTCTGCAAAGTACGGTCAATTGGTGCAGGCTCCACTGTCATCGGCAGCTGCAAAAACTCAGCAGCAGGTGGCGGTGCATCAAGAACAATGCCTCCTTCAAACTTTGACATCTCTTGGAGCTCACCAATACGAACAACTGCTTCCTCAATACACTTCCCTAAACTCATACGCCATTTTACGTCAGGAAACAAACCCGAAAAACATTTCTTATTTAGTGCATACTCATCTTTGATCTCATTTCTCTGTTGTTCAACCTTTTCCACAGCATCAATCCAACCTTTGCATACTTCATTAGGCACTTTACCAATGTTGTTTGAGAGCTCTTTTTCTACGTCTTTTCTTCTGTTAAATAGATTTTGAGCATCTCTGTCAAGTTTTTCTATCTTCTCACCTAGTCTTCTGGCACGCTGTATTCGGCGACCAACAGGATCCCACATCAGTTTTATCATATCCCACACTGGTCCAATCAAATTTTCCATTTCCACTGCAGCCAATAAAAGCATAATGTACAATTAATTAAGGTGATCTATTGCAATATACCTGAAAGCTTGAGCACCAAAATTTTGGACTATAAGGATTAGAAGATACTCTAGCAAACCAAACTTTAGCCCCTAAAAAAATTCATTTCATTACACTTCATCAACCAAAATTCACAAAATCAAATGTACAATTATATATCATGGTATACATTTAATTAATCTCTTGATTTTATTCTTTTGTTTTAATGGTGAGAGATCCTACGACTATATGGGAGAGAAGAATTCTGGACATTCACAACCAAGAATTTACTTGTAAAAGCCCAAATAATATTAATAAATAATATTATACAAAATTCATCAATTAACACTAAGCACTAATCTACCATAGAAAGCCCAAAAAAAAAAAAAAATTCTCTACTCCCATGCGTGATTCAAGATCTGTATTCTAAAGATTGCAAGCATTTTATCTTTTATGTAATTAGTTTCAACTGTGTAACTTAATTTACCTGATCAGTCAAAATAGCTCCAATTAATAGTACAGCTATGCAATTTCAGTCACTTCCTTCACAAAAATCACAGCTACTGCCTCCAAACACTTGAAAATCTGTTGTCATAAATAGAACAAATACAATTAGCTCCTTTCCAACCCTTGCTCTATATCGTAAGCTAGCTGGGTCAAGGAGACAAAAAAGAACATACATGCGTACCAATCTTTAGGAGGAGAAAGCAAATGAACTTATGAAAGACCCAACTCCGAACAACAATCACTTAAATTCTCAGTCTCAATTAAGTGTTTTTTTTTTTTGGTGCCCTTTGAAAACTATAGGCTGAAGATGAGAACAAGCTGAGTAAAACTGATAAACTTCATGGAAACATCTTGATAAACTCTTGGTTTCTTCTACATTCGTATTGTAAATTAAAGTGGCACAGTTGGCTACACATTTGCACCATAAAGTAAAAGATGTTCTCAAAGTTGAAAAAGTTAGCACAATAATTTCTTTGTTTGCTTTTAGCATCGCATCAACGGTCATATCACCACTAGAAGTTTTCCTTCCAGACTAAATAAAAACTAAATAAAAAATAATAATAAGAAGTAGAAAAAAAAAACAAAAATAAAAACTAAACAAGAAAAATCTATATGCTCAATTTGTTCATAAAAATTAATTAAGAATTTAGTAATTTTATTATATATACATCCATGTTATTTTTATTTTTATTTTTTTATATTAGCTTGGGTCAATTTGTATGCTAAATGTATTGAATTGAAGATGGGTCCGCCTAACATAATGATTTGGATCGTAAAAAAATAAACACGAGTATTCTAATAAGACTTGTATCTATATTTTATCTTTAAAATTTATTAGGAAGGTTAGTTTGATGAACTAAAATCTATTTAAAAAAAATATCTAATTATTATTTTATTCAACTTTTATAAAAATTTGAAGTAGTTTAGCTCAAAATTATTGAATTGAAGATGGGTCTCTCCTAATATAATGATTTGGACCGTAAAAAAATAAACACGAGTATTCTAACAAGACTTGTATCTATGTTTTATCTTTAAAATGTATTAAGAAGATTAGTTTGATGAACTAAAATCTATTTTAAAAAATATCTATTTATTATTTTATTCAACTTTCATAAAAAGTTGAAGTAGTTTAGCTCAAAATAAAAAATAAAAAACTAACTTATATAATATAGAAATAAGCAATTAAAATGATACGTAATTATAATTCTTTAATTATATTTTTGTAAAAAAAAAATTGAGAATTTACACATAAATTAATTAATTGAACTAGTTATAAAAAAAATTAAGAAAAAGGTATTTTTCAGAATTATGTCAATGGCAATTGTAGCTTTGAATGGGCTAGGTCTTAGCTCTGTCAGATTCGTACTACGAAAATACTTGCTATATATCAAACGACAAGTAGCTTCTTTCCAACCCTTGCTATATATCGTGAGCTAGCTAGGTCAAGAAGACAAAAAAGAAGATACATTCGTACCGATCTTTAGGAGGAGAAAGCAAATGAACTTATGAAAGACCCAACTCCGAATAACAATCACCTAAATTCTTATCAAGTAATATATATATATATATATATATATATATATATATATATATATATATATATATATATATATATATTGTGCCCTTTGAAAACTGTAGACTGAAGATGAGAACAAGCTGAGAAAAACTGATTAACTTCATGGAAACATCTTGATAAACTCTAGCTTTCTTCGACATTCGTATTATAAATTAAAGTGGGACAGTTGGCCGATCCTATTGCCGTAGATCATTAAGTATAAATTAGTCACAACCGTTCAAAGTGGAATGAAATTATAGAATCAAAAAAGGCTGAGTGACTTCAATTAAAAATAAATAAAATTAAAGGGTCCTACAGAAAGAAAAAGGAAACAAGCACTTAGAATAGAATCCAATTTACTTGACTTTTGCGAATTAAAAAATTCTAAAGAAAAATCGGAACTGATTACTTGATGGAAAGATATTGATAATTTATTGGTTGGCTACACATTAATTTGTACCATAAAGTAAAAGAAGTTCTTAAAGTTGAAAAAGTTAGCCCAATAATTTCTTTGTTTGCTTTTAGCATCTTAATTATACGCATCAAAGATCATATTCGGCTGTAAGTGCCAATTAAAGTTCTCCTTTAAAAGTAATTTGTGATTTAATGGGGATCCTATCATGCACCACCACTATAAATGATTTAATGGGGATGCAATGGACATCCTCCTGACTAAATAAAATAAATAAATAAATAAGAAGAAGAAGAATTTTTCATCAACCAAAAAGAAAAATTGTATATTCTCAATTTATTCATAAAAGTTAATTAAGAATTTAGTAATTTTATTACATACTCCAAAAATACTTGCTTTACATGCACGTTTTATGAGGAAATATGAAATGATATCTAGCATCAGTGGAAAGGAAATGACAATATTTTTTAGTTTCACTAAAGGAATGCTAGCTAATACGATTTGAAAAAAAAAAAAAATACTTGCTATACACCCATCCATGCTTTATGAGCTCATATTCCTTCTTTTTCATTTTCAGAATGGGAATGCGAGAAGTATTTTTGAATTCCTCTGAGCTATTTGGCTTATTTGGTATTATTATGTTATGCTGTGTTTGGCTATTGTTTTATTCTATATTGTTGTTCAATTAAAGGGAGAAGTTCAAAGAAGAGGTTGGAGAAGAAGCAAAATATGAATTCTCTGGTTTGTTATCTCAATACAACTCATACTTCTCTTCTACTCTCCTAACTATTTATATAAACAGAAAAAAAAAAAAAAAAGATAACTAAAACACTTAACTAACTACTAACTAAAAGGAAAACAACTAACTTAGTTAGTACCATATTAGCATAAATAATTAAAAGAAGATGTGTAAAGCTTTCTTAATACTCTTCTTCAAAAGGAGCATGAAAGTCTTCAATGTTCATCTTGTTCGAAGAAAATACTAGCAAGAACCTTTTTTTCTAATGAAATGACGATCAATTTCGATGTGCTTTGTTTTCTCATAGAAGATGGGATTTTTGCTAATGTGAATTGTCGATCGATTCTCACATTTAAGAACCACTCGCATCTTTGTGATCAAACCCCGTGTCCGTCAATAGAGACAACAACCAAACCGAGTTCACAACAAGTAGAAACCATGGCTCATAATTTGCTTCAGTGAGCTTCAGATACTAATGATTGCTTCTTTAATTTCCAATAGACGAGGGAATCACCAAGAAAGACATAATAACTAGTGATTGATCTATGAGAGTCTTCATATCCTAACCAATCGCTATCTATGTAGGCCTATAGTTGCACATCAAAATTTATTAAAAATAAGATACCTTGTCCGAGTGCATGCTTTAGGCATCTCGGTACCTTAAAGGTAGCTCGCAAATGTATATTGACAAGTTTGATCATGAATTGAGAAAGAACCGAGTGCCAAAACAAATGCCAAGCCTTATGAAAGTCAAATACAATTGATTTCCTACCAAAGGCTTATAAAAAGTAGGATCTTCTAAGAATTCGGAATCGGCCTAAACCAATTTGACTTTAAGATCTATCGAGTTGAAGCTAGCTTCACTCCTAACAAATCATGTTCCGTCAACAAATCAAGAACAAATTTTCTTTGGCATAAAGATATTCTTTTTGGAGATCTAGCTACCTCAATGCTAAGGAAGAACTTCAACTTGTCCAAATCGTTCATCTTGAATTGAGTATGAAAATACTTTTTAAATTCCTCAATGATTTCTACGGAATCGTCGACAATGAAAATGTCATTAACATAGACAAATAAAGCAATAAAACCTCATGAAGGAACTCTTTTAATGAACAAGGAATAATCTGCTTTGGACTAGAAAAACCCAAAAGATAACAAAAAAGTTGTTAGTTTAGCATTCAACTGTCTAGATGCTTGCTTCAACCCGTTTTGAGATTTTTAAAGTTTGCAATTGGTCTTGTATGAGCATGATACTCCCCCGGACATGATATCCTTGAAGAAGATACATGTAAATTATGCAAATTCTCATTTAGGAAAGCATTATTGACATCTATTTGAGATAAATGCTAATGCTTGGGAAGTTGTGAGAGTTAGAAATAATCTCATTATTATATGTTTGACAACGGGACTAAATGTCTCTTAAAAATCAAAACTTTCCTTTTGTCTATAACCCTTTGCTATTAATCGAGCTTTATACCTATTAATACCACCATTAGTATGAAGCTTCACCTTATACATCCATTTACAATCCATCGCATGTTGGTCGGAAGGAAGAGAATCAATTGTCCAAGTCTGATTTTTCTCGAGAGCATTAAGTTCATCTTTCATGGCTACTTTCTAGTGATTAGAATACACAGCGTGATGATATGAAGGAGGCTAAAAAATGGTGGAAAGTGAAGTGACAAAAGATGTATGAAATGATGAAAGATGTGTTGTAGAAATGAACTGTTGAATATGATATTTTCTATAATAAATGGAAGAAACTTTGAAAGGTAACTTTGTATAATAATCTTACAAGGATTTTGGAGGTTTACTTGTCTTATTGCTCTTTCTATAGGAATAGAAAGAGCAAAGGAATCACAAATTGATTGAGAAGAAACATCATTTATTATAAAAGGAACATAAGAAAAAGGAACATGAGTTGAACAAAGCTCAAAAACGAAGCATGACAAATATTCGATGCACGAAAAGAAGGATGTAGTAAACTCAAGATTAGAATCATGAAAAACGAGTTGATATATTATATGAAACATCAAGGAAAAAACAACGAAGTTATAGGAGTGGATTTATTTTGAGAAAAGGAACATACATTCTCATGAAACACAACATCCCTAGATGTGAATATGGTTTTGGAATTGAAATCATACAACTTGTATGTTTTCATGCCAATTGGATAACCAAGAAAAATGTATTGTCTAGCTTTGGAATTGAATTTCTTTCAATGTTCGGATAAAATAGAAGCAAAACATAAATAACCAAAGACTCTCAAATGGGTGTACATAGGTTTCTTATGGAATAACACTTCATAGGAAGTTTTATTGTGTAAAACAAGAGTGGGCAACCTATTGATAATGTGTCTTGCAATTAATACCACTTCTCTCCAAAGAATAACTGGTAAAACAGATTGAAACTCAAAGCCTTGTTAACAATTAACAAGTTCTAATGTTTTTTTCAACAAAACCATTTTATTTTGGTGTTTCAACACGGAACAACCGATGAACAATACCTTTTGTAAAATAAAATTCTAACGAGTTTAAACTCTAAGCCATTATCCGATTTGATTTGCTTAACAAAAAGACTAAATTGATTTTGAATGAGGTTACGAAAGGCGAGAAAGTAAAGAAGCAACATTGAATTTAGAGCTCATTAAGAAAATCCAAGTTATTCTAGTGAAATCAACAACTATGGTAAGAAGATACCAATATTTGTCATGAGCTAGTTGTAAATATAGTCCCCGGATATCAACATATATTAATTCAAATAGATTCCTATTAGTTTGAGTATGAATTGAAAAATTTTAGAACGGATATCCCATATTAAATAGTTAAATTAATGATGAATAATATATAAAGTTGAGAATGGATCACGGACCACAAGCCTTTTAAGTGAGATGGCCCTTTAATATAATATCGAACTTAGTTGACCAAGAAGTCTCAAGTTTAAGTCTCACAATCCCTAATTTCTCAAGTATTAAGCACAAAGCAATGTGGACATGTGCAAGTTTCAAGTCCAAATGTTGATGTTTTCACTTGAAACGGTATGTTAGAAACTAATATAATTTATATTCGAAGCCTCACCTATCAACTTAAGTTTTGAGGGAAAATAGTCCTTTAATACCCTTTTAATGGTTTGTTGTCGGACAAACAACACAAGAAGTTTTATTTGAATATGGAGTACTGAGGACGTTAGGGCAGTATTGATGAACAATTTTCACCCTTTCAAAGAAAAAACGCAACCGAACCTACAATGCCAAAAATCGAAACAATTGTCAGCATTAACCGTAGGACTAGTGTTAACATGAGACAAACGAGAAGGAACAGACTTAGAATTATTGGAAGCAACAGATTTTGGAAATAGTGTTAACCAAAGATATAAACAAATATACAAAATATTGGAGTGGGTCACAGAATCGAAGCATATAAAAACCGATCGTTCAAAAAATAAAAATAAAAATGCACGTAAAGCCCATGGTTCAATAAAAAGCAATGATAGGCCCACATTTTCCACCAATCAGATAGCCCATCGTTCAAAAAATAAAAATAATAATGCACGTAAGGACCTAATAATTATTGTTTGAAACAAAAGAGACTAACTAATTTATTTTTTAAAACTAAAGGAAATAGTTTATAATTTACAGCGGAACGACTCCGGGACCCGGCTGCTAAATTTGTAGCGCGGGCCTAGCAGGGCACACACATGATGCTGGGCTCAAGGTTACTGACCCTGCTTGGCCCATCATCTGTTACCATGCTAAATAATATATGATTTGTCAATAAATTATCAAAAAATATATCTATCTATCAGTCAATAATTTGGTCTCAAGCTGAGAAATTGTGGAATTAAAAAGGGATAAATTCATTGTCCTCAGGTAATGTCAATAAGTTTTCTTTTAATACGTAAAAAATAAAAAAATAGTCGTCAAAATTTATCACCCAATCACTAGTCGTCAAAATTTCAATTTGCTTCTTTTCTTCTTTTTTTTTTCTTTTCTTTTTTTCTCTCTTTCTTTTTTTCTTTTTCTTTTGTTTTTTTTTTTTGGGCAAAAAACAAAAAGTAGTGTAGAGAGGAGAGAACATATAAGACTAACTCGAAAGAAAACAGTCACTTTGATGAAAAGAGCCACTTAAAGCCCAAAAGAACAACTCTTACTCAAAATACCAACGAATATAGTTGGGCTGAAATAACAAACTAGTTTCTCCATATTTGATAAAATGTCCGGATATTGATCAAACAGTCATGGTTTCAAATTTTACTATTTTTATTGTCTTTTAATTAAAAATAAATAATTATTCATGAGTTTAAATACTATCACTCTTACTTTTTCTTCTATTAAAATTAAATAATTAAATATTATTTAAGCATAAATTAATGATAGATTTGTGTAAATTTTAAATCCAAAAAATTTTAACTTCAAAAAATATGCCTTGAAGAGCTATGTTAGAAAATAAATCCAACAGCTTAAACTTTTTTCTTGAAATAGTTCTTTGACAATAAAAAAAAAAAAAAAACTAATATCTCTTTTACATGTAATTTAATTAATTGAAGGACTAACAAAAAAAAATCAAATTTAATATTAATATTTCTTTTAAACCACAAGGAAAAAAATAAATAAATAAAATTTATAATCATTCACCAATCTAATCATTACAGCTTTATTAGAATCTTCAAAGTCTTGGTTACAAAAGACAGACAGGGAATGGTCTAAATTCTGCAATTCCATACCGGCCTGTTAGCAATTTTCATTTCTAATCTCTTTGAAACATAAGGGACCCAATACATGTTAGCAAGAAGAAGATGGGTCCCACCATATAGTGATACGTTGCAATAAAAATCCAACATACTGCCATCCATTTTACCCAATAAAATTATAGATTTGAACAATGTCCCCTTGTAGGATGCTCTAAAGGGTGGATTGAAAGATTTGCTAGTCTAAGATTGCTACAGCCAGATTAGATTTTAAGGTCCAAAAAATCTTTAAATTTGTTTATAGCTAAAACCCCAATTCTCTTTAGCATATTTGATTGATATCAGTTCAATTAGAAAAAGTTTAGAGTATTTCAAAAGTAATTACCAATACTTTTCGTAAAATTTCTGTTTATGTAAGGAAATTATAGCAGAAGAAGAAATTTATATTGTTTCTATAACAGTGGTTAATTACTCGTTGTTTTATTTTTGTTATTAACTAAATAAACTAAAACAAAACGATAGTTTACTTGTTTCAAATACTATTCATACACTAACATTTTACTATTTATTGATTTTTTTACACTTTCGTTCTTAATCTTTGCCAACGCATATTTCGGTCCATATCTTCATTTTCTCATCCATTTTGGTCCCCGGATGAAAGAGAAGGAAGGAGGGAAGAGAGAGACGAGAGGAGAGAGGAGAGATCGTCGACCAAGGTTATTTAGGTCGCTTTGGTAGGCAAAAATCTAATAGATTTTTTTTATCTTTGTAAGCCGAGTTTGTCTATGGTTATTTCAAGCCATGAAACAATTAGAAGATGTAAATCGGAGTCAAAAAAGGAAATAATGTTCCGATTTGATTATGTAATTTTTTTTTTTTGTGCATTAAAATGATTTTCAAGGTTTTAGATATGTTTATTGGCTTTATTTCGATCATTTAGAGGTGTTTGCGCGGGAGGGGGGCGGAATGGTGCCGGAATTCAATTTCTAAGGGTCCGAAACTTGATCCCTAACTTTCGATGAAGATTCCAGCGACCTCGATTCGTCGAAAGTTGCAGCCTTTTTTTTATTTTTATTTTTTTAAGTAGCAGTCCGGACTCGACGCGCTAGCTCGGCTGTTTTTTTTTTCCCTTCCGTTTCGGCTTAGGAAACAACTTTTTATTTTGGTCCTTTTTTTTTTAGTCATTAAACTTTTCCGATCTTTTATTTTTATCCCTACTAGAAATATTAAAATTTTATTATATGTGATTTTTATCCTTATAATCAAAATTTTTTTTAATTTTTAGTAAAACTTTATGTTCTTTTTTTTTATTTCTTAATATGTTTTTATTTTAGTTATTAAATTTTTCTCATATTTAATTTTATCCTCACTATACTAAAACTAAATAAAGTTTACTATCCTAAGGTTTTTTTTTTTTTTTTACAGAAATTTCCTTTCTATTCTAATTTCTGTTTTGTTATTTTTCTTTTTTCTCGTCATTAAATTTAGTAGAATTTTTTTTAGTCTTTTTTTTGTAATTTTTTTTTATTTTGATCATTGAATTTTTTTCCTACAAGGAACTATTTTTTACTTTTAGTAAAACTTTTTATTATATTTTGATTTTTGTTTTATGATCTTTCATTTATTTTGATCATTAAACTTTTATTATATTTAATTATTATTCAGTTTGGGGAGAGCACGAAGTTTTAAGATCTTCAACCTTGGGAGCTGATGACCATCACTTCTGATCATCTCAGGTTCAATCTCATTCTCTTCAAAAATATCTTCAAGCCGATCGCAGTAACTGATGGAAAGGCTCTCCAATTTAGACAGTTGCTTGATCATGTCCCAGGAGAAAATGTGTTTTATGTGATCACATGTTTCCAATCTCAAAGAATTGAGATTTGAGAAGCTTCTTATTGACGGTTGCCCTTCCAGTATTGCTCTCAATTTCGGCAAACAGCTCAACGTCCAAATTCTCCAAATCAGGAAAAATGTCGCCTCCTTCTGACTCATCCCCATTTGCAAGAATCTCAATGTCATCACAGCTCCACACTTCACAAATTCTGAGACCTTTAAGGTTTTGCATGCCAAATTCAGACAGTGTTTTGATACCACGAGATGACACCATAAACTCTTGGGAACGGCTAAGTACTCTCATTATTGTAGGAGGGATCGGGGTAGTAGGAGAATCCTGGCAATCGTATAATATCAAAGCTCCATGGCTCAACTCCGGCTGCGGATATACTGAGGGATCCCAATTATTATTGACAAAAAATCGGAAGTTCAAGAACCTTTGTTCTTTCCATGACCAACTTGTTGAGAGGAAACGCTCAAGGTTTTCAACGTTTGGAAAAGAGAGATGAATTTTAGTCAAATTTCTCAAACAAGCCACCTCGTCCAGCATAGCAACGTGCGCAGACTGCAACAACTTCACACCAATTTGCAGTTGCTCCAATGAGATGAGACTTTTTATCACCCCAGCAGGAATATCCACCGTCGTGCTAACGTGGCAAGCACTTGAAAATATAAAACTAATAAGACGATTCAAATTCATGATCTCAAATGGTAAACTGTGGACCCCAACTCCAGCCATTTGAAGTTCTTGGAGCTTCTTTAGAGATCCCACTTCAGATGGAAGCTCTGCAAGAGACTCACAATAATTCAAATATAGCCCTTGAAGATTCACCAAACTGCTAATAGATGATGGTAGTGATCTGATGCTGGTGTACGATAGGTCTAAAACTCGAAGCTCTGCCAAGTGCTGAAAGAACTTGTTCGGAATCGTCTGTAACTATCAAATTATATTGGAGAAACAATGTTGAAAGAATAGGACAATCCAGAGATTCGGGTAAAGTGCCCAATGTGTTATTTCATGAATGAAATGCGTTTCATTTGCTTCCATTCCTCCTCATTTCCATACGATCCATCTCTCAAACCAGCTCTTACCAAAAACTTATTGTCATTATTTCCTCTTGGCGATGTGATAATTAATGCTAGATCCCGTAACAAATCATGCATCCTACAACGAGAGTATCCAACCATCTCCAACAAAGATTTTTGAACAAGAGTATTCAATAGGTCACGACCTTTATTATAGCCATCGATTATAGATTTTGCATCACCAGTCAGCCCCTCTGCTCTCCAATACTCTATCAATTCATCGACTTCTATCTCTTCATCTTCAGGATACAGCGCACAATATAAAAAGCATTGCTTGATGTTGTCATCTCCCAGTTGATCATAACTGAATCTCAGTGGCTTAAAGACACGATCTTCCATGCTTCCTATAGAAGAGGATGTGGAAGATCGGAGTTCTCTCAATTTATTGCACCACACATGGACATCATCGGTATTTCTCAAGGCTGCTCCCAAAACAATTATTGCAAGTGGCAGACCATCGCATTCCTCAACTGCAGCCTTAGCATATGGACTGATGCTCCTATCATTCACAACATCACCAGCCTTGTGGGCAAACAAATTCCATGCTTCTTCCTGAGACAAACGATCCACTTTTACAATTTCATCTATATCCATATCGTTGCACACCGTTTGGTCTCTAGTTGTCAACACAACCTTACTACCTTTTTCTTGCTCGTTAAGATTAGGGATGCCGATATCGCCCAAATCTAAGCTTCTCCATACATCATCCAGCAGCAACAAGAACTTCTTGGAACTCAGAATTTGGTAGATTTTATTTGCAACTGTGTGAATGGGATCTGCATCGTTTACATTAATTGACAAACGCCTTGCAACATCCTTTTGAATCTTATCAATACTCCCCTGACTTGAGACGGTAACCCATATGACAATTTCAAAAGTTATTGAGATCTCCGGTAAGTTATTCAAAGCTTTCACTACAGTTGTCTTCCCGACACCACCCATTCCCCAAATTCCTATCTGATGGATCTTTTCACTTCTTATGTGTGCCAATACCTTCTGCAAAGTACGGTTAATTGGTGCAGGCTCCACTGTCCTCGGCAGCTGCAAACACTCAGCAGCAGGTGGCGGTGCAGATCAAGAGCAAAGCCTCCTTCAAACTTTGACATCTCTTTGAGCTCACCAATACGAACATCTACTTCCTCAATACGCTTCCCTAAACTCATACGCCATTTTATATCAGGAAACAAACCCAACAGACATTTCTTATTTTGTGCATACTCATCTTTAATCTCACTTCTACGTTGTTCAATCTTTTCCACATCATCAATCCAACCTTTACATACTTCATTAGGCACTTTATCAACATCGCTTGAGAGTTCCCTTTCGATGTCTTGTCTTTGGTTTGATAAATATCGAGCTTCTGTGTCAAGTTTTTCTATCTTCTCACCTAGTCTTCTGGCAAGCTGTATCCGGCGACCAACAGGAGCCCACATCAGTTTTATCATATCCCACACGGGTCCAATCAAATTCCCCATTTCCACTGCAGCAAATAAAAGCATAATGTACAATTAATTAAGGTCATCTGTTGCAATATACCTGGAAGCTTGAGCACCAAATTTTGGACAATAAGGATTAGAAGATTCTCTAGCAAACCAAACTTTAGCTCACTAATTGAACAATAGACAAATATATTACATACTGATTTAGTTCTGCACATCATCAACCAAAATTCACAAAATCAAATGTACAATGAATGTCATAAATTATATATCATGGTATACATTTAATTAATCAACTTGATTTTATTCTTTCGTTTTCATGGTGAGAGATCCTACGACTATATGGGAGAAGAATTCTGGACATTCACAACCAAGAATTTACTGGGTTCCCAAGCCACATGGGATCTACCATACTTGTAAAAGTATGTTGGTAAAACAGATGGTATGTTATATAGAATATATACGTAAAATAAGAATAACGAAAACATTAATAAATAATATACAAAATTCATCAATTAATACTAACTACTAATCTACTCGATAGAAAGACAGGGAAAAAAAAAATCTGTGTTCTAAAGATTGCAAGCATTTTATCTTTTATGTAATTAGTTTCAACTGTATAACTTAATTTACCTGATCAGTCAAAATAGCTCCGATTAATAGTACAACTATGCAATTTCAGTCACTTCCTTCACAAAAATCACAGCTACTGCCCCCAAACACTTGAAAATCTGTTGTCATAAATAGAACAAATACAATTAGCTTCTTTCCAACCCTTGCTATATATCGTGAGCTAGCTAGGTAAAGAAGACGAGAAACAAGAACATACATACGTACCGATCTTTAGGAGGAGAAAGCAAATGAACTTATGAAAGACCCAACTCCGAACAACAATCACTTAAATTCCTAGTCTCAATTGATGAGAACTATAGGCCGAAGAGGAGAAAGCTAGCTCAGTCTCAATTAAGTGTTTTTTTTTTTTTTTTTTGGTGCCCTTTGAAAACTATAGGCTGAAGATGAGAACAAGCTGCGAAGGACTGATTAACTTCCTGGAAACATCTTCATAAACTCTTGGTTTCTTCCACATTCGTATTATAAATTAAAGTGGTACAGTTGGCCGATCCTATTGCCGTAGATCATTAAGTATAAATTAGTCACAGCCGTTCAAAGTGGAATGAAATGAAAGGGTCCTACAGAACGAAAAAGAAAACAAGCACCTATCCCAGAATCCAATTTGCTTGACTTTTGCGAATGAAAAATTTATAAAGAAACGACATTTCGGAAACTGATTACTTGATGGAAAGGTATTGATAATTTCTTTGTTTGCATCAACGATCATATCGGCTGTAAATGCCAATTAAAGTTTTCCTTTAAAAATAATTTGTGATTTAACGGTGATCCCCCATGCACGTGTATATCACCACCAGAAGTGATTTAATGGTGATCTAATGGACATCCTCCTGACTAAATAAATAAAGAAGAAGAAGAAGAAGAAGAATTCATTTAAAAAAAAATTATATATGCTCACTTTATTTATAAAAATTAAATAAGAATTTAATAATTTTATTATCTACTCATCCATGTTATTTTTATTTTTTATTATATTGACTTGGATCAAGTTATACAATAAATGTATTGAATTGAAGATGAGTCTTGCCTAATATAATGATTTGGATTGCGAAAAAATAAACACGAGTATTATAGCAAGACTTATATCTATATTTTGTCTTTAGAATGCATTAGAAAAATTAGTTTGGTGAGCTAAAATCTGTTTAAAAAATATCTAATTATTATTTTATTCAATTTTTATTAGAAAGTTGACATAGTTTAGCTCAAAATAATAAATAAAAAATAAAAATCTAACTTATATAACATAGAAATAAGCAATTAAAAAGATACGTAATTATAATCCGCTAATTATATTTTTAAAAAAAAACTGAGAATTTATATCAATATTAATAATTCATTTACACACAAATTAATTAATTGAACTAGTTATAAAAAAAAATTAAGATAAAGCCATTTTTCAGAATTATGTCAATGGCAGTTGTAGCTTTGAATTGGCCATGTCTTAGCTCTGTCAGATTCGTACTCCGAAAAATACTTGCTACACATTTATGAGGAAATATGAAATGACATCTGGAATCAGTGGATCGAAGGGAAATGACAATATTTTTCAATTTCACTAATGGAATCCTCGCCATACATGCATGTTTTATGAGTGTATATTCCTTCTTCTTTCTCATTTTCAGAAAGGGAATAAAGAAACGCATTTTTGAATTCCTTTGAGCAATTTGGTATTATTGTGTTGTGCTGTGTTTGTCTATTGTTTGGTTTGGTATTGTTGTTCGATTAAAGAGAGAAGTTCAAAGAAGAGGTTAGAGAAGAAGCAAAATCTAAATTCTCCGGTTTGTTATCTCAATACAAACTCCTACTTCTCTTCTACTATACTAACTATTTATATAGACAGAAAAGGTAGAAAAGATGACTAAATCATTTAACTAACTACTAACTCGAAAGTAAAACAACTAACTTGATTACTACCATACCAACGAAATAATTAAAATAAGATGTCACGTATAAAGCTCTCTTATTACTCTTCCTCAAGAGGAGCATGAATGTCTTCAAAGCTCATATTGTCGAGAAGAAAATACTAGCAAGAACCTTTTTTCTAATGAAATGACAATCAATTTCAATGTGTTTTGTTTTACCATGCAAGATGAGATTCTTGCTAATATGAATTACCGATTGATTATAACATTTACGTACCACCACTACCTCTTTATGATCGAACTCAAGTCTATCGATAAAGATAGCAACCAAACCAATTCACAATAAGTAGAAGCCATGACTCTATAATCTGCTTCAGTTGAGCTTCCAGCTATTAAGGATTGCTTCTTTGATTTCCAACGGATGAAGGAATCACCAAAAAAGATATAATAACCGGTTATTGATCTATCCTTCACATCCTAACTAATCACTTGTCTATGTAGGACTATAGTTGCACATTAGAATTTGTTGAAAATAAGATACTTTGCCTAGGTGCATGCTTTAAGTATCTCGGTACCTTAAAGGCATCCTGCAAATGTATATCTATTAGGTTCATCTATGAATTGAGAAAGAACCTAAGTGGCAAAACAAATGTCAAGCCTTGTGAAAATCATATGCAATTGATTTCCTTCGAGCTGCAAATAAAAAGTAGGATCCTCTAAGAATTCAAAATCAGCCACGACCAATTTGACATTAAGATCCATCGAGTTGAAGATGGCTTCACTCTTAAAAAATCATGTTACGTGAATAGATCAAGAACAAATTTTCTTTAGCGTAAAGATATTCTTTTTTAAAAAAATGATATTGAAATTATCTTAAACGATGCAAGCAAGCTTAACCTAGCAATTGTGCACCCAACTAGTTTCTCTAGTGAAGTAAGATTCGAGTCTTGATAACTCTATTTTTTTTTTAATGATTATGTCATGGGAGGGTTACCTCCATTTTGTAACCCAATAGGTCCATTGGATCTCCAATAAATTGAAAAAAAAATGTAGTTTTTAAACATATATGTTTTGGGATGTATTTGTGTCAAACCCGAATTGTTGGAAAGTAATAATATATGCTCATTTCTTAATAAAGAAATTCAAGAACCTAATTTCATGAGTGGGATAAAAATCTATCAATCAGACATAAAACGGAAAAAAGGACCTGATAATTATTTTTTATACAAAGGAGACTAACTAATTTGTTTTTTAAAACTAAAGTGACTAGTTTATAATTTACAGCGGAACGAACCCATGACCCGGCTGCTAAATTTGTAGGGCGGGCCTGCCAGGGCACACACATGATGCTGGGCTCAAGGTTACTGACCTGGCTTGGTCCATCAAAAAATATATCTATCCATCAGCCATTACTTTGGTCTCAAGCTGAGAAATTATGTGATTGAAAAGCGATAAATTCATTGTGATGTCAATAAGTTTTTTTTAATAAAAAACCCTTATAATTTGATTTTTGAACGTATCGATTCTCATTCTTTTAATATGTAAGTATTTGTGGTTTTTTTCATTCATTTAGACAAATATGTGGTAATATATTACAAGCATTTAATAAGCATATATTATACAAAAAAATGAGGATTTTTGTGTTAAAAAAATAAAGTATAGGGGTTGACGAACCATTTTAATTTATTATCTAATAACTAATAGTCAAATTTTCAATTTGTTTCTTTCCTTTTTTCGCAAAAAAAAAAAAAAAAAATTACTATGGAGACATAGAATACTTGGGTTCTTAAAAAACTAAGTAGCAAATTATGAATTAATAATTACTTATATATTTTTAGTAATTCTATATTATCAATGTTAGAAAGTAATATAAATCATATCTTTGAAATATAATATACTAGTTTAAGTTTTTAGGTTGTAAAGATTTTTTAATAAAATATCGAGTCTTACTAACCAAATGATCACGAGTTTCAATTTTATCATTCTTATTTTATCTTTTAATTAAAATTAAATAATTATTCATGAGTTTGAATATTACCACTTTTACTTTTACTTCGATTAAAATTAAATAATTAAATATTATTTAAGCATAAAGTAATGGTGAATCTATGTAAATCTTAATCCAAAAAAATTTAACTTGAAAAAATATGCCTTAAAAAAGGTATGTTAGAAAATAAATCCCACGGCTTAAACTTTTTTATTCAGATAATTCCTGACTATAAAAAAAATATATATTAATATCTCGTTTACATGTAATTCAGTTAATTAAACTAAAAAAAAAATTAATATTGATATTTCTTTTAAACCATGAGGACAAAAATTAAAAAAATAATAAAAATTTATAATCATTCACCAATCTAATCATTACAAGTTTATTAGAATCTTCAAAGTTCTTGGCTACAAAAGACAGACAGGGAATTGTCTTGGTCTAAATTCTGCAACTCCATCTGAATCAAGCACAGTGCATGAGCTGCTTGCACCCTACAGCCAGCATAAGTGGCAAACCCATACTGGCCTGTTAGGAAATTTCATTTCCAATCTCTTGGAAACATAAGGGACCCAATACATGTTAGCAGGAAGAAGAAGGTCCCCACCATATAGCGATATGGTGCAATAAAAATCCAACATACTGCCATCCATTTTACCCACAGCTCAGGCACAGCTCTGTTGGATATTTTCCTGGCTTCTACAATGGCAAAACCTCCTCTAAATGTAGATTTGAACAA